CATGTTTAAATAATAATTGTTTGGGCTCACAGTTATCATCTTCAGTTTCAGTTTTCCAAATCAGAGGCTCAACGCATGATCAATGAGGAATTGCCGCTGGCAAAAAGCTGTGCTGTCGCTTAGTACTTAATCTGCTGCAAAGTTTGAAATGTAGACAATTAGTTGTAAATATAATACCAAACGGTGGGAGAACAGAAAAACATTTGCGCGGAAAAAAAATTGTTAAAAAGTAAAGGGCTTTTATGCTAACTTTGCAAAAAATGGTTGGCAAATCGATGCCAACAAAAAAAAAGTGCGAATAAAACATAACTAAAAAGAAAACTATACACATCCCTGAGAAGACTTTCCTGATTAAATCGAAAACAAACTGAATGAGTAATGCTGAAAAATCACAGAAATAAAACGCTCATTTCCCTGAATATGAGCGAAATGCAGTGATAATTGTACAGTGTCGAGGCAGCTAGCAAAATTCAGCCTCGGAACAGGATAAAATAAAAAACAGTCAAAACAATAATATCGAAGGCTAAGCTATCTCTCAGCTTCATTGTCCTCACTTCTCCACCACAAAAATTGCTCTATAAGGAAATTTAAAGCTTTAGAGAATGATAAGCTAAAAAAAGGCGTAACTGAACTGATAATGATACGAGACAATGAAAGAACTTTTTTTTTGAGTGGTCTGTCAGGACTTGACGCATAACACGAGAAGTTGAGGTAAAAAAGAGAGAGAATTGCCGCAACCATCAAAAATAGATAGATACGAGCTGAAAATTACTCCAAATATGTAGGTGTAAACATAAACAAAAGATTTAACTAAACCAATTAGAGAATCAAACAAAGCGAGTGAGATAATTGGATTAGGTCAATTAAGCCACGACGTCAGGTACTTCAAATTGCGCTAAAGGTATGTACATAGCATACTTGCATATGCTTACAGGGAGTTGAATTAAAGAGGAATTTCAGTGAGAGGACTGAGGACGGGGTGCTAAGACGTTTTGGTCTAATAAGCTTTGAATGTCTTTACTCGGCGTAGCAGTTCGACCCCGTCAGCGTACTCTTAATTTTTTTGATATATTGCTGTTCAGTCGGAGATTTCCTGTGGCATTTTGAAAATAGTACCAACGACGCTGTAGCCACAAAATGCAAAAAGAGTAAATGCAAAAAAAAGTAAAATTTCTACGATTGTAGATCCACTGCAGAATGAGCCAGCAGCGAAATTACATTATGCAGTAGAAGAAAGGCATACGCAGTAACGGAAAACTAGGAGAAACCGGTCTTGCAGCAACTGGGTAGGCTTGGCAAAAAAGTCCGCTCCGGATTTCAGGTATTAAATTTCAGCCTCGAATTAATGCTGCACTTCGAAACCGAGCACTCTTTCGGGGTTGGTGCTCTCGAGGCTCTTGTATCACCTCCCGCAACGATTCTCAGATTCCGTTTTCTGGATGCAGTTGCCTCAGCGGCGTTTTTTAATGTAAGCTGTGATCAAGTTGACGCGGTTTCGAGCACTATTAAGTATGTGCTCCAGCGTGTAGCCGGCATAACTGAATCCTAGAGCGATCAGGCTAAGGATCAGTAAGCTGGAGTACAGGCGTGAATGTCGTCGATAGTGTGCGGTCAGGCGTCGCTTAAAGCGTTGCCCTTTAACCTTCAAGTTGCTCGGATACAGCGGTTGCAGCATGCGAGATGCCAGATTGCGTCGCCGCAAACCGATATCCGATACTGACGGTGACTCATGGTAGGAACTAATTTTGTTTTGATCACCTAAAATTCGTTGTACTGGCAGAGCTTTTTTGACATCGCTTTTCAGCTCATTGAATTTTTTGACCGTTTGCGACACAACACTCGTTTTCTTTGGCGAGGCGTTGTCAGTGCGGCTGCGTGAGGCCGATCGTGATCTGGGAGCCTCGCGGACGTTACGTGAGCGGCTGCGTGAACGTGATCTGTTGCTGGAGGGCGAAGATTTGGCGGATGCAGTGCTTCGCTTCGACGCCCGTGCAGGACTGTGAGAGCTACTCCGTGCGGATTTCTTTGGCGAAGATCGGCGCTTTTGCTGTTTTCCCATGTTTTTGTTATTTTTGAACTGCAATTTATGAACTCATTATTTTTTAAGCAGCTACATAATTTTTACTGTTTCATTTACTTACTAATAAGGTAAAAGATAAAGCTAACTGCATGTCACGAATTCAGTCAGTAGATTCTGCATTAGCTACGGGCTTTCTGGACATCCTCCAAACTCTTCTGCCGTGTGTCTACATGCAAATCACAGGAACAAGATCGATTCTAAGCGAACATTTGAAAAAAACGAACATCAAGCGAACATTTTTATGTTTGCTGCTCACGATACTGCGCAACTTCTAACTGCCCTCGTCTCCTACAGAGAATGGAATGCGGAACTTTTTACTACTGGCTGATATCGATGTATCTGAATGAGTGTTTCAATTAACGCAACCACAAATCTAATTATGCGACATGACACTAACTATCAGCGGCGAAACAGTACGGCATCTAAGGAGGGAGCCAGAGATAAAAAGCAAATAAGTGAGTGAACTGTCCAGTCAGATTATGATTTATTTGCTCAGCAACAACGACAAGTTTATTACTGTAATTACAGTGAGTGCACTATGGCAGGACACTGAAAAGGGAAAGGGCAAACGAGGAGGAGGAGGGGAGAAAGGAGAGAGCACTAATTTCGTGGAGGATCATACAACGGTCAGGCTACCGCCCATTGATTAATCTCGAGAATACAGTTGGACCTTCAGTTCTTTACCTGGCGGTGCGGTGCAAAAACGCCAAAAATGCCAAGACCGCGCGGGCGATCGGTGAGGGTATTCTATTTCAGTAATGTCAAGCAGGGGGTAGTGAAGTCAACCTCGGGGGCAGTGATGTCAGGCAGGTTTCAGCCTCCAGATTAACCCTGAAAGTGCGGACGACAGAGTACGAAGGAGTTAATCCCGTCGCTATTGGCTATGAGAACTAAATTCGAGTTATTCACAAGAACAGGCAGGCAAAACTCGTAACAACATTGCCATAGATGAACCTGAGGAAGGATCATTAATGAAATTTGATCAGAATTTCCCAAACAACACAGTGTACAGGATGGAATTCCTGAACTCGGAAGCACGACATCCTCTATTATTTTTCAGAAATATAAAATTACAAAATTTAAATCAAGGAAAAATTTGAATTCGAATGGTAACTTTTGCGCAGAGGTTACTAAGAAACGATTTAAACGAACAACACGACTGCATCAAACATTTTCTGGATTTGTACTAGAAATTCAAACTTCACAATTTAGTAACAAATCTCAAGACTGAATTACCTTATTCTTCAGTGTGAATGACTTCGTGAAAACTGTTGACGATGGTGACCGGGCACCAATTAATCACACGCCAAGAATGCTAAAAATACTAAGCTTGAACTTTTGCAGTGCACTTACGAATTTTATGCAAATCTCCAAATCGTCCAAACCAAACAAACTCTATTCAAGTTAATG